GGGGTGATCAGGTAGGCAGGTGAGCAGTTAGGGGCGATGAGGCAGGCAGGAAAGTGGTTAGGGGTGATCAGGTAGGCAGGCAGAGTAGTTAGGGGCGATCAGGTAGGCAGACAGAGTGGTTAGGGGTGACCAGGCAGGCAGAGTGCTTAGGAGTGATCAGGCAGGCAGGCGAGCAGTTAGGGGCATTGGGCAGGCAGGCAGAGTGGTTAGGGGTGATGAGTCAGGCAGACAGAGTTGTTAAGGGCGATCAGGCAGGCGAGCAGTTAGGAGCCAGTGGTCCCGGATTGCAAGAGGGTGCAGGCCAGGCTGAGAGGACCTTCCCCCCCACCCCCCGCACGAATTTCGTGCACCAGGCCTCTAGTAACATAACATGATCCCTACATCACGATGCAGTGTAACAGTTAAGTAAGGTCATGGAGCAGTTAGCATGGGGTTGTATAGATATTAGCTGCTAATATTATGTATGAGTATGAAAGTGCTGGGGCCAGGGATTTGAACTGAGGCCACTCTGTTCTCTGTCATTGGGCCTGTAGGTGCTAATGGTGGGGAACATGTCCTGGGGCCACTGCGCAGGCCCTAAGCCCACTTTCTCACCCTGCAGATCTCCTGGGCGTGCTCCCTCTTCCCGCTGCTCATGCCACTGGGACTGGGGCGGCGGAAAAAGGCGCCACCTCTGGTGGAAAATGAAGAAGCTGAGCCAGGCCGTGGTGGTCTGGGTGTGGAGGAGCCGGGGCCCCTGGGTGGAGGTGGGGTAGGGGGGCCCCAAATGGGCTTGCCTCCCCCTCCCCCGGCCCTGCGGCCCCGCCTTGTGTTCCACACCCAGCTGGCCCACGGCAGTCCCACTGGTCGCATCGAGGGCTTTACCAATGTCAAGGAGCTGTATGGCAAGATCGCGGAGGCCTTCCGGCTGCCAGCTGCGGAGGTACACATCAGGGAGTCCCGGGGCTCTGACGGTGGGCTGGAGGCCTGGACGTGCATTCTGGTCCTGAACTGTGGCTCAGTGCCAAAGTCGCAGATGCGGAGGCCTATGCCACACGGAATTATGGGGAACTGGAGGCCAGGGCTGGATGCTGAGTTTTCATCAGGTATTGGGACACCTACGCCCGAGTGGATTATGGGAACTGATGTCCAGGACTGGATGCTGCATTCCCATCATGCATTGAGAGGCTTGCACCCCAGTGGATTGTGGGGGCTGGAGGTCCGGTGCAAGATTCACTTCTCCACGATGCATAGAGAGGCCTGACCCCAAGGACTTTGGCACAAGGAAAGAGAGGACAGGAGGGATTGAGCAAGAAGTAGCCACAGGGGTCTCAGTAGGCTGGGTGGGTGTCTGTGCCCTTCATGCATTCCACAAGCATGTACTACGCACCCACCGTGGGCCGGGCTCTGTGCCCTGGAACCGGCAGGGAGATTTTTGCTAGGACAGAAATTTCAGCCCTAGCTGAGCTGACATCCCAGTGGGGTCCTGCCCTGGCTCCTGGAGTGGTCAGGCACTGGGGTGGGGACCCCCAGGCCTTTCCAGACTCTCTTTCCTTCTTCCTCAAAGGACGAGGGAGGGAGGTGAGAGCTAAGTGTCTCCTACCTCTGCAGGTGATGTTCTGCACCCTCAACACCCACAAAGTGGACATGGACAAGCTCCTGGGGGGCCAGATTGGGCTGGAGGACTTCATCTTTGCCCATGTCAAGGGGCAGCGTAAGGAGGTGGAGGTGTTCAAGTCGGAGGAGGCGCTGGGCCTCACTATCACGGACAACGGGGCTGGCTACGCCTTCATCAAGGTGCCTGAGGGTTGTGTGTGGGGGGCGGTGACAGCTCCTCTCTCCTCAGCGCATCAAGGAGGGCAGCGTCATTGACCACATCCAGCTCATTAGCGTGGGCGACATGATCGAGGCCATCAACGGGCAGAGCCTGCTGGGCTGTCGGCACTACGAGGTGGCCCGGCTGCTCAAGGAGCTGCCCCGAGGACGCACCTTCACACTGAAGCTCACGGAGCCCCGCAAAGCTTTTGGTGAGGAGCTGCTGCTTGGACCACCCAATGTACTTGGGTCCAGGATGCAGTGCCACGAGCCACCAGAAGGTGGCGCCCCAAGCCCAGCAGGCCTAATTGGAAAGAGGGACAGCTCCGCCTTGCCTTGGGGAGAGGGGTGCTGGCCCTCCGCCCAGCCTGGGAGGAGGGTGGGGACGAGGAGGAAGTTGACCCTGCATCCAGCTTCCAGGAGCCATTAGCCCAGCCAAGCGCCCCCAACCCTGGCCAGTTCCCCCAACCCCCCCAGCCCCTATAAGCCAGGCTTGGCTGCCCTGTGCCAGCCCCCCCACACTTTCCAGTTTGGCTTCACTAACTCTCAGGAATGGGCTCCAGGCCCCTAAGGTGGGGGTGGGGGACTCTGAAACACTTCCCCAAGCAGCTAGGGCTGGTCCGTGGCCCAGCAGCTATTACACCCCTCCCTCCCTCCCCGCAATGACCCTGGGGAAAGCAGCTAGAGATCAAGGCCCCATCCCCTTCCTGTCCCTTGGGCCCTGGGAGAGATGTGGTCCCCTTTAATGTCCCTTTTAGCCGTTTCCATTCCCAGCCCCTGGCTGCCCCTCTCCCACCCGTGCCAAGTCTGTCAGGAATCCTGCCCTCCTGGGATCACCTCAGCCCCCAACTGCCCCTGGAGCCTGCAGGAGCTTGGAAAGGTAGAGGGGAGTGTCTAAGACCAGGATGTCTTGGTTCCTGTCCAGAACATGCTGGAATTGGGCTTCCCCACTCTCACACCTCCCCTGCCTTCCGCAGACATGATCAGCATGCGTTCAGGAGGTGGCCGTCCTGGCTCCGGCCCCCAGCTGGGCACTGGCAGAGGGACTCTCCGGCTCCGATCCCGGGGCCCTGCCACTGTAGAGGATCTGGTGAGTGTTCCAGCTGGGCTCCAGGCACTGGATTCAAACCCACCTCTGCCTCCTCCCAGCTCTAGGACCCTTCTTGTTGGCCTTATTAGTTTCCTTGTCTGTAAAATGGGGGGATAATAATACTGATAATGTCGGGGTTGTCCTGAGAATGAACTGAGGGTTAATATATATAAAGTGGCAAAAAGAGACCTGGCACTTAGTAAATACAATTAGAGTTATGTTTACATTATTATGATGCCCCTGTCCCTCCTCCCACCCCACCTCCAGCCCTCGGCCTTTGAGGAGAAGGCAATTGAGAAAGTAGATGACCTGCTGGAGAGTTACATGGGCATCAGGGACACAGAGCTGGGTGAGTGCTTGGCGTTTGAATCTGGGAGGGGTGGGAGTCTGGGGGAGGAGGCTTCCAGGTCCTGTGGACTGGGTCTGCCCTGACCACCTCCATTCTGCTCCCCCACCCCCAGCGGCCACCATGGTAGAGCTTGGGAAGGACAAGAGGAATCCAGACGAGCTGGCCGAGGCCCTGGATGAGCGGCTTGGTGACTTTGCCTTTCCTGATGAGTTCGTCTTTGACGTCTGGGGTGCCATTGGGGACGCCAAGGTCGGCCGATACTAGGACTCCCACTGGACCTTGCGATGACCTGAGCCGGGCCTGGTGGGAGCCCCTGGGGTGGGGGCACCACCGCCCAGGCTCCGGCATCCGGCTCAGCCTGGCCCTGGCCCAGCAGTCCCAGGATGTGGCATGGAGGTGGGGCTGAGCCTCTGCCCCACTCCAATCGGTACCACTCCTTCCTAATTCCCAGCCTGGCTGGGGTCCCCAGCTACCCCCCTACTCCCACCCTGTTCCCCACCTACCTCAGCCAGATCAGGCTCTGGGAGAGACCAGCCAGATTGGGCAGCCAGACCCCGCCCGCAACACTTTCCACATCAGCGGCCAAACTGGTCCCTCTGTCTCCCTGCGGCCTCGGGTTCTGTTTGGGGGTCCTGACCTCCCTGGTTTCCTGACATAAGGAATTCAAAAGGGGGAGCGTCCCCCCCAGCAAATGCAATAATCCCCCCTCCCGCCATTCCTCCAGAGGAGCTCCCTACCTCTGCATTTGAAACACAAGTCTGCTGTGAACCCCCACCTCCCCACCCCACTCCTATGTCTCCCTCAGCCCAGCCCTGGGCAGACAGGGCATGAGGAATGATGGCGGTGGGCTTTTGTATCTGAATTTGCTGTCGAACATAAAGACTCTGCTGTTGGACCTGTCTGGTGGCCTTGGAGTGAGAGTGTGGGATGGGCCCAGGCTGGGAAAAAATGTAGCAGCTGAAATCCATCCTCCCCTGGCTCCAAATTGAATTAGGAGCTGGCCCTGGCCGCCCGCCCCCTCCCACCCGTTCCGCCTGATGAGGCTTCTGGCTGTGGGCCACCAGGCTTCCAGGCAAGGCCTGAGCTTTTTGGCCTACTGAGGGTTCAAGTCTTGCTCCCTTTTGAACAGTGCCTCCTGCCACCCCAGCCTGATGTGAACAGTGGGCACAAGGCTGCTGGCTACAGCCCAGGGTGGTGGGAAGCACCGGGGCCAGGAGGTGTGGAAGCCTGGCTTGGAAAAAGAAAGCTGGCGGGGAGGGGGCTCAACCGGCCTCAGGCCCGCTGGGGGCTGGGCAAGTGCTATGGGGAGGAGCCCATCCCTGAAGCTCGGGGAGCAGCCATGATGCCGCCACACACCACCAGACTGGACGTGCAGGGTCTGCGGGTGTCCACGGCAGGCCATGCTGTGCACTGGACAGAAACCCGGCCTGCTTGTTTTGACAACCCTCTTCACCCTCAAGGATTTAAGGGGGATCTGGGACGGGGGTGGGGCGGGACCCTGGCCAGACCAGGAGGGAAGAGCAGGATTGAAGGGAGGGGAGCCAGCTAGGCTGGAGGTCCCTGCAGGAATGTTGGGGAGAGTGAGCCGAGGGGGGAAATGTGAGCCCAGTCCACTCCCCATTTCCACTGGGTGGGCAATTGGCCTCCAAGGTGGGGGAAGTGGGAGTGCTGCTGAGCTGGGGGTGCATGGCTATATTCTCTGGTGGAGCAGGGGTAGCCGTTGTCGGGGTTACTCCGTGCATTCCTGGGCACCTGGAGGTGTTTCATGTGTCCGTACCACTAGGAGCCTTCTACTGAAAGGGTGTGTCTCAGTGTTGAGAGGACTGTGTATCTGTGTTGATGATTTGTGACTGTATTGAGGTGTTTGTGTGTATAAATGGCAGTGTCTACATAGAGTGTGGGTATGTGACTAGAACTGTGAGCATGTGTGTGTCTAGATGTTCCTATTTCTAGGGTAGGGGGTGACCAGCAAGGTCTCGGGGAGTCCAGGGCGTTGCAACTCCTTGTGTTTCGGTGTGGAGTGTGACTTGGACTGTTAGGGGGTATCTGAGTGATACGGATATGGCTGGGGTGCTGTATCAGTGAAGGATATCAGGGGCTGTATTTCAGGGTGTTGAGAAAAGTGGCCAGTGTTGGAGTCAGTTACTATGGGGATGTCTCTGGTGCTGGGGGTGCAAATGCCTTAGTGAGTTCAGGGGTGTGATGATGGCTGACTCCAAGGCTCTGAGGAATGTGGCTGGCTGGGGACAGGCCAAGATGGTGGCTGGTCTCAGGGTGTTAAGGGATATGATAGTGTGTCTTCAGGTGTGAGACTGTGTCCCTACTTCTCAGGGCAGGAGGTGAGGCTGCAGCTGTGTGTCCACAGGTGTGTCCCTCACCACATCCTGAAGCAGGATCTACTAGTAGGAGAGCCCCCTGGTCACTGGGCCTCGTCCTCCTCCCCTCCAGGGATATGACTCCCTGCTGCCCTGGCCTGGGCTTTAAGCCCCTGTGTAAATAGTGGGCGGATCTCCTGGCCTGGCTGGGCCTGACCCAAGCTAGTCCACCCAAGGCACTGCCCACCACCACCCACCCAACATCCATGAAGGCTCTGGCAGGGCAAAGGAGTGCTGCTGCCCCCACAAGGGCTAGCCCCCCAACCTCGCAGCCCCCATGGGTGTAGCAGCACCCCCTGCAGCCGCCCCAGCCGGCCCCTGGCGACGCTCACATTTTCCAGTGTTTAGATTTTATCCACTTTATTAATGAGGCAGGCGAGAGGCCCAAGCCTGGGGGGAAGGGGAGTGCTCCTGCCCTACCAAGAGGAGGGGGTCACGGGGGGGCAGGACAGCTCCATGGGAGCCCCCCTTCCTCATAAGGGGAGCTGGGGCCCAGAGTGGCCCCTACCCATTGCCAGAAGTGCAGAGAGGGGGGTCTCTGCCCCCCCAGGCCCCTCAATGGGCTGGTGCTGGGTGGAGCAGCCCCTGGAGGCCTGAGTGGGCAGCCAGAGGAGGCAGGGAGCCCGGCGAGGAGCCGCCCCTGTAGGAAGGGAGGGAGGGAGCGGCCTGCCGGAGAGCTGGAGCGCAGCGGACAGCGGGGACTGAGAAGCAGGCGATGGGGACCTGGTGTTCCAGGCACCACCAGGTAAGAAGACTGGGGTGCAAGGATCTCAGGTGGGGCTGGAGGGCACAGAAGGATGGGGCCATGGTTCCCTCTACCTGTTCATCCTGTGTTCTCAGCTCTATCTGTCCTGGTTGCTCTTAACCATCTGTCCCTTCTCCTTTCCCTTCTGGCCCAGGGGGCAGTAATGCCCTCTCAGCCCTCACCACTGGATATCAAGGGAGGGGTGGTCCTGGGTCAGCCTGAGGCCTCTGGGGCAGGGACGTGGAGCTGGCAGGAGTGGAACCCTGGGGCATCCTGGGTGAGGTAGCTGTGGTTGGGTAGGGCCTGAGTGAGAGGGAGACAGCAATGGAGCTCAGAGATGGGAATGTGGGGGACAGAGATGGGGCCATGGCGACAGAGACAGTGCAGTGGGGAGAGAGATGGGCCCACAGTGGCAGAGGTGGAGCTGTGGGCATCAAGGATGGGACTGAAGTAGAGATGACATGATGATGGCTGTCCGAGATGGGGCAGTGGGGTCATGTGGAGCCCTAGGATCAGAAATGGGCCCGTGAATATCAGATGGGGCAGGGGACCAGGAATTTGCTATGATGTAAATGGGAGGTGGGTCTATGAGACCCAGAGGCTATGATAGACCAGGGGGCTGGGGCCAGGGGAGCCACAGTGAACCGGGAAGTAGGCAGTGAGGCAGAGTGGGGCTGGAGCAAGAGCTGGGAGGGAAAGAGGAGAGGAGGAGTCAGGAACTGGGCACCAGGGTCTTTGGAGTTGCCATGGGGTCACTTGGGCCCTAATGACCCAAAAAGGGACCATCAGCTGGTCCCAGTGGGCGCTGTGCCCTGGGCCAGCCTCAACTTGCCCTCCTCTTCTCCCCAGCCCCACCCCCGGCACCTGACATGAACCCCTACGGGCCCCTCAACCTGAGCCTGGTGGGCGAGGCGACCACGTGTATTGCACCTGTGGCCCCCAACGCATCCACTGGGCCACCGCCGGGCATCGGGGGCGCATCACCAGCGCTGCCCATCTTCTCCATGACGCTGGGCGCGGTGTCCAATTTGCTGGCACTGGCGCTGCTTGCGCAGGCCTTGGGTCGCATGCGG